TAACTTTTTAAAATATATAATAAAAAATTTTGTTATTATTTTTTTTTTTTTTTTCCCAAATTAAAAGTAGTTTTGATTTCCACCACGCACTTAGCAACGCTGCCTATTTACGACCGTCTTCACAAAATTGTTGATAAAAATAAAAAAAATGGACTTGAATCAAGCAATGATTTGTGGACATGAGGCCTTATGTGTAAATATGAATCTTCATGTTCTCCATGCAAATCTATTGCTCGATTTACTCAAGGAAATGGTTCTCATCAGAACTTTATCCGTGGTCGCGAGCTCCACCTAAACGTAGAGTCAACGCGCATTCCAAGCGTCTTAAGCTCTTGAAGAATAACCAAAACATTTAGGATGAAAAGAGGAAAAGAAAACTGAAATAAAAATTAATGGGGAGCTATTACTGAGGCTAAGTGGTCAATAGCCAGCTGCTAGCAGCTAAGCGACTGATTCCAATTCTTATGTCTCAGGTAGCCCACCACTTTTCTTTCTCCACCAATTGTCACTTTCGAACCCACATCTCACCGGTCAGGATATCCGCCTAAGGCTGAGCATCCTGTGTTCCAAATGACGATCCAGAAACAAAAATGACAAACGACGACCAAGAAACTAGATAGTTGCCGATGAAGTAAGTGATGCTTACTTTACTGACACCTGACCCAATTAATCGATCAGGAGAAAACTAAATAAATTTAGGTTATAGAAAGAAACAGTACGGTATAAATTGTAGTGAGTTTCCTAGACTTAATATCCTTTCAAAAATTTCAAATAAAATCTAGCTTCACCGTTGGGCGCCAAAATAATTAATAAGATCTTTCTAATAATTATTCATTACTGTAATGGGTAACGAATATCAGGCTAGATGTTGAACTCCCGCTTTTGGCCCGCACGTTCGATGGTTCCGGCTCTGGCTCGTCGGTGGCGTGGTGTTAGGATGTTTGGCCAATCACGGGTGCCTTTTTAGGACTTATTATTATTTAATTACAATAATCGTGCGAGAAGAGATGACGAAATAAGCTACCGGAGGAGCTATGACCGAAAACTGAGAAAATTAGGACCAGAAAGGATAGAAAAAGAAGAAGACAAATTTGTGCGATCGGACAATGTACCACTCCTTGATGTTCTAGGAGGTAACGAGGCCCACCCTTCCTTGATCATGGTTTTTCCGTATAACTTTAAAATTTCCCATGATCCCTTTTTTAACTGACTTAGCTTAATTTAAATTCTTTAAAAAAATCCGACACTGGAGTCTCCTTCCGCCGAGGACCTCCCTGCAACCGCACCAGGGGATTCGCCAATTTCCGTCGCGTCTTCGATGGTTGTGAACCGCGGACTGATCTGGTCCCAGAGCTTTGCCTCTTTCGCTTGGTTGTTCTGCACTTGGGAGCGATGTTGTTGCAGGCCTAGCCAAAATAAATTACGCGGACTTAGGAAATCTCCTCTCTTATAATAACTAATGGTCCCCCAAACGCTTACCTCCAGAGTCAGTGCCAACTGACTAAATTCCAAATTTTCAACTTTTTTTTCTCTGCTTCAAATTTTTCCGATTTAAGTTTTACCACTTTCAACTGCACTGGTCTGAGTCTCGATGAGAAAAGAAAGAACCTCCAGGCGAGTGATACGAGGAACCCAGGACCAGCTATTCGGGAGTTCTTTTTTTTTTCCTTTTGCAGAGTGTACCCGGTTAAAAATTTCTCCACCCATTTCTCCCGCTGAGTAAGAGCGCTGCCACTAACAGTCCCTAAGCCTACCCGTTTTCTTCACGACAGTTTTAGAGCCAGTCGCTTCCAAACCGCATTACCAATCCATCAGATACACGCCTTTACATTACATACAAACTAGAACCATTTGTTTTTCGTCAAAATAATTATGCCGAATAGTGTAGAAATATTCGTTTCTATTATTTTTTCCATCAATGATAAATCTTGTATGGAAACTATTTATATCTTTAATGGTTTTCATATAGTTAGCTTAGGATATAAATAAATACAACAGTTTTAGATCCATTTTAAACTATTCATCACACACGCACAGTTGATCCCAGAGTTTCGGATTTAGGATCATTTTATTATGAGATTTTAATTATTTTATTTAATATAATAATGAGAGGTCACCAAATCTCCGCCTCAAAGATATAATATTAAGCGGTAGGACTGTGCAACCTTTTCCTTTGTTTTTTCTTTATTTTATATTTTTGGTTCTTTTAATTATTTGAATTAATACTAAAGATCGCGGAGCTGCGCCGGCAGCGTCGGTGGCAGAAGCTCTTATGTACATATATATGTAAATAAACACATAAAGTTATTTTTTTAATATTATGTATATTATACATAATATTAAATATAAATATACATATTTAAAATTGATTTCTTTTCTGTATATTTATATTTTAATTTTTCGGCCACGAACTATTGATATTAGTTAGTTGTATAAATTGTATATTTTAAATTATAAATTTGTGAATTGGTGACGAGCCGCAGATACAGCGCTTCTTTGAAATCTAACGGGTAATCTGAATAAGTTTATTTTATATTAAGAACCATTTTAAAAATAATTTTGAGCTTTTAAGTAATTTTTTCGTGTATTCCTTTTAGGCGCTCTTATCCAGGTAGTCCATAAACTCGTTGCTTATTAAAAATCTAGACCACACAAATTTTTTTATTTTGTTTGATTATTTAACGAGCGCCGATATTTTTAATATAGATGTAGGGATGTTATTGATAAGAATCGATAAATATTACTCATGAGGCGACACATGTGGCAACTCTTAAATAAAGCCCTACAAAAAAACTGAATTGGCAGCACTTTTCGAAGCTTTTAAGCGCTCAATTTAAATTCAAGTCAACGTTCGTTTTTGGCGTTTTGAAGTATTTGTACCTCTGTTGAAATGTTAAGGGAAGTAAAAATTCCTTAGTAATTTAAAAAACTGAAAAAAAAATTCACTTATTGTCATGAAACGTACGGATGCTTTTATAAAGTAATAAAATCACCGCTGTTGAAATTGAAAACCTAAAAATTAATAATTTTGTAACTTTTCTTACATGAATAAATCAGTGAAAAAGGTCTTCCATAACCATGTCCATAATGAGATTTTCCCAATGCATCCAAATGCAAAAATCCTGCTACGAATTAAAAATACCAAATGTTTCGCTAACACATAAATCTTTATTTGAATATTAGTAGAGTTCAAAATGTTAGACATTCAAAGATACATGCTGGCTTACACCTATGTAGTAGCAACGTTAAAATATGTGGTTTGCTTTGCATAAATCTCACTTGGTTCGTATCATGGGGGTATACAAGTGACTATTATAATCGGTAGTACGGTTAAAAGATTTGTGTATTGTTACGTTACGGGTCTGGTTACTTCTAAGGTTGGTGTTGTCTTCTTGCTGTGAGCTCCGTGGAGCCGTCTACGATCCCTCCGACTATGATCTATGTGGAACTTTATTGTAGTTCTCTATGTGGTAGGTACGGTACTTCGAGATTGCTTCTTTTAGACATGTAAAAACATTGATTTGAACGTTTATTTGAAATATCGGCTTGTTTACTGACTATTTATGATTGGCTTTAGCTATATATTCTCTTAACGGAGGTATATACGTACAGTGTAGCATGGATATATCTGGGGGTGCATACGCGTCGCACCCGGTCGTTAAATTTATGCAAAGTGCCTAGGTGTAAATATTTGGTATGTAAGAGATTAAGGACTTGTAGAGTTTGGAGATTGTCAAATCGAATCACAAGTAAAATTTGTAATTTTCGCATTAAGGAATACTTGAATATTTATATATTGGTAGTATTATAATCGGTACTATAGAACGAGCCTAACAATCAATGCTAGCAGTACTCGAAAACACAGATACAATCTGGGTATTTGACACAGGAGAACTGCCTTCTCCTATATTGGTAGGTCTACAACTAGTCTAAATATTCAAATTGTGTCTCCCTTTGGCAAATATATTTCGTGTATAATTCTAGTCTTCGCTTCACATCTAGAAAAGAGCTGTGCTACCAGTGTTCTCGAAGGACTCTCCGGGTAATTTGCCTCTTGGGGTCTTGTCCTTCCCACTCTGCAGAGCTCTGGGAGGATGATTGAGATAGGATCTACCCGTAATCGTAGCATTTTGTGTAGATAAAGTATTTAAAGGCGCTATAACTCGACTCGCATCGGTTCGGTACTAAAATTGGTGTTCCATTACATGTAAATCAATACGAAATTTTCACATAACACTTATAAATTTTAAACTAAACAATATACATATGTACTTCGTTTGAATCGGTTCTCTATATCTATCAAAAGTTGCATTGAAAATTCGTTTGCCTTTGTTTTGTTTATTTTGCTGCAGTAGAAACCACTGGATACTTGTCTTGGATTATGACTGATTGTTAAGGATGGTTAATCTAAACGCTCAAGACCTCAATCACTGGACGATTCTAAGCAGTATCCTCAGGGAATGTGGGACTATTTTGATTGCGTCTGCAAAGATATTTGAATATTTTAGGATAGATACATCGTGGAATGGAAATACTAATTGGAACCGTCCAAGGATTCTGTCGAGAGTCCATAAAACTCAACCAACATTGGGCATTCTGCTTATTACTTGACTTGGTCACGCAAGGAAATCATAGTATTTAAAACGACGTTTATATTCTAAGTTTTAGTTGCTGAGAGTTTTGGTTACATCTACGGTTTTCGGTTTTAGTGATACATCGTTGTTTGAGAGACCTTTACTTGGGAGAGGAGTTGGTTTAGCTCGGTAACTACAATCCTAGGGTATCTACGATGGCCTAGTTGGCCAAATATTCATATTAAGGTACATAATTACACCAAATATATACATGTGATCTAACTTGTATGCACATATGTATACAGAACTACAACTAATAAGGTCCCTCTCCAGTTTTAATGCTTAGAATGCACTAGCATATGCATATTCTTGGAAACCAAAACAGAAACAATACCTGAATTTTGTACAAAATGAAACAAAAAAGTGTTTAAATAAATATTAATAGGTGTGTTTATTAGCGTTGCTTAAGATAACTCAATAACTGAATGGATACCCATATTTGAAATAAAATATGCATTAAATTACTTACTCTAGGTAGTTTACAAGGTATAACTAGTGTCAACTAGACCGATTAGTAGTTGCTTCTAATTTAGGGGCTTTAAAAAAATAGACGCTCTCGGCTACGTTGTACGATATTCCAAACTATCAACTAGGCTGCGAAGGGTATTTTAATGTGTGTTTGTATATAGATAGTATAGTTTTTGGGAAATTTTACAGATTGGGGGTTTGTTTTGATGTTGCCTCCTCTAAATGTTTAGTATCACACTCGTCCAAGTTTCGTCAAGTCAAGTTGGTTTTCCATCATTCGTTTTTGTACTAAAGCAAAAGTTTCTCGTTTGCATCGAAACGCGATTGGGTTTCAGTTCATTAGAAGGTTGGGTCGTCTGTTGGAAACATAGTAGCCTTAGTCTAATGCGGATGCCGATGCGGATGCGGATGAAAGTTTGCTCGGGTTGAGGGCCGCCAAGTGGCATCCCGTCGGGACCAGCCAACCAGCCAAGACAACCCGGCTAAGCTCATAACTGTGCAGCTAATTGCAGTTTGATTAACACACAAACACACACACGGGGCTAGACACTTGGTAAGCTACGGGCTAATCCGATAATGGGTGCTTAGAGTTTCCGGGTGGGCTCCACCTTCTGCGACATCGCGGTGAGCACCCGCTGGTTGTCGATGACTCGGAAGCTGCTGATGTACGACCGCACCTCTCCCTCGCTCTTCGGCGACGGTGGCTCCAGGCCTGTCCGAAACGGGATTCAATTAGCAACAATTCAGGGCCAAGAATTGGGGACTAGCCCCACTACTCACCCAGACTCCTGGAGCGGCAGAAGCGAATTGTGCGCATCGTTTGGGCCATCATGTGCATCTTCTCGAAGTTCACCAGCCCGTCTAGGCTGGTCTTGTTGCCCTCGTGGGCGAAGGTCATGTCTTTGAGCAGCAGCGGCATGAACGGGATCAGTGGCGGCTGCAGCTTGCCCACGAAGACCCTGTAGGCCCGGTGGTTGCGGCTGGGGTCGATCAGGGCCTCAAACTCTTGGAAGATCTTCCTGAACTTTGACGGGATCTTCTCCCAGGTCTGCTGGAGGCGGGACACTGCCATGTTCGACAGACCCATTACCACGGCGAAGAAGGCGTTAAGGTTCTGGTACTCCTTGCAGCTAGAAAAGGTTTAAATATGATTTTTTTTAGGAATATTTATGGTACACAAGTAAGGACTCTTTAAGGCTTAGTGCTTTTGTTGAAAGCGTTTATAAGGAATCCAATACCAGTTAATACCAGTTACAAAGTCAACTTACTAGGCCGCCAGCTTGATAAACTTCCGGACCAGACCCACACGCTTGCTCAGGCTGGGCGTGGAGACCAGCTCGGTGACAATCCAGTACTGCACCTCGTTGAAGCGACGCAGGAAGACGTCCAGGTTGGCCGTGATCTGTATGAGGGGTAGTAAGAAGTGAAATTTGATCAATTCGAGGCCCAAGCGGCAGAAGTTAGCCCAAATAGTTTCGGGCCATCTTTAATTACTTCGAGTGGCGAAACTCGGGGCTAACTCGATTTGCAAGCAGATGACAAATGGCAACAGTTTGCGGCCAGTGTCTGGCAGGCTAATTGGCCAAACGAGACTTTGAAGACATTTGGCCAACTTGGCAGGGCCTTACCTTGCCAAAGTGGTGTCGTCCGAAGGTGTGGTAGAGCAGTTCGTACTCGTGAACGGCCCAGAAGAGGTCCCACTCGAACAGGGTGATGTGGTAGGCCAGCTCCTTGGTGCTCAGGATCTCCAGGTCGATGTCCACGCCCTCGGTGGGGCCTTCCTGCTCCTGCAGGGGGGTCTACATAGGCGAACCAGGAGACAGGTGAGAGGGGTCAATGTGGGCTATTAGATGGCAATGGGCTTACCAGGGCATCCAGGTGATCCTTGACGGAGACAAACAACCGCCCGTTGAGCGTCAGACCCGTGGGTATGCTGACGTCGTTGTCCTTGAACACGGACCGCTCTCCGTTTGACTTGACCTCCACGAGAACGAGGTCCTCCGGGCCGCGGTTCAGCTGCAGCTTGTCGGCGGCACAGGCCTTGATTAGCTCCGCAGTGGTGTGCATGGGGAATCGCAGGGTGCAGTAGGTGTGGTCGGCGCAGTAGACCCGGAAGATGACTGGACGGGGAAAATGGTTATCATTGCTGGTTATCACATCCTGCAAGTATCCATGTACTTACTGTCATCGTCCGGTCGAATTACTGTCTTCGAGGGCGTCGCATTGCCGCTGAAGAGACAGATCGGCTGTCCGTTGGGCGGCAGCTTCCACTTCTGGCCGGCGTTCTGGTTGCGGTCCTCCTGGTAGCGCGCCATCTGGGTGAGCACGTTGTGCACAATGCTGGTTTCCTCGTTGAGGTCTGGGTCGGCCTCCACCTCGGCGGCCAGGTCCTCGATGAAGTCGCAGACGCTGGGCTCCTCGAAGGCGGCGTGGCGCACGGCCATGACCCACTTCTGCATGAACAGGATGACGCGCTTCTTGAAGTTGATTATGTACTCCCGATCCTCGGGTGTCTGGGCCTCCTCGTGGGCGTCGCAATGGAAGGTGCACGGTGGTTAAGGGGGAACCAATTTCGTTTGGGATTTCAAATCGGATTTGTAGTGTGATTTGGGGTCTGCCTGTCCAAACTCTGCCTACACTTCCCAACAGGATTGGGCAGCTGGAGCTGGCTGACTATTGATTTGTGGGCCGCTCAGCGCCCGACCCTGTTGCTCAGTGTGGCCCGCTTATTAAACACGTCACGTACTGGGATGCAGATTGTGAGATTAGTTTCAGGCATCATTGGACGGCCCCCGCCACCCAGTTCCATTTCTCCTCGAAACGGAGTCTTTCGAAAATGCTGACCCAACTCGCCCCAGTCATCATTGTGGCTTTTGTTTCCACTGAAGTTAAGTCGCACGGAAGTTCCGCTTGTTAGAGTCCCCCAGCCCAAAAACCAACCCCCAACCGGATCGGGGTCATGTGTTGCGACCTGCGTGCTGGCGGCACTTGAGCTGGAGCTGTGAGTCCGCCCGAAGAAACGTGACTGGGGCGCGAGATGGACGAGTCAAGAGGCGTTTTGCATTTCGAAAGTGCAACCTGGAAGGCTGGCAACCTGGCAACCTAAATCCCAAAACCTAATACCTCGGAACAGCTAGAAACCCTCGAAGACTTTAAAGGGTACTGCACCTAAGCTGTGGGACGTGGCTGGAATCGAAAGGGTTTAAGACTAGAACTCATACGGTTTTTCTTGTGTGTTTGAAAAGGATATTAATTGGCCAGTTCATCAACGAGCTGGACGACGGGCATGAAGACAATGTGCGTGAGCAGAAAGTCGTCCAGGAAGGGGTCCATTCCGCCGACCGACTGGCCCAGTCGCGTCTCCAGCAGGTGCTCCAGCATCTTGGCCGGCGTGCCCGACATGACGGTGTATCTGGAAGCAACGGATAAGCTCAGTCACGGAACAGCAGGACCATAAAACCCCAGACAGGACCAAGCCATCAAATCAGAAGTCAGACTTTTAATTTCATTTGCAGGCCCGATAAAAACTGAGGGACTCACTTGAATGCCGAATGCTGTCCTCGCTGCTTTGCCACGCGCTCCAGCACTAAAACATCCTTGCCGTGCTCCTGCAGTCTCAGAGTGTTGGCCTCGACATCACGCAGGATCCGGTTGAAGTGCTCCTTGTCCACGCGCAGCAAGTGGCAATTGTTCTCCTTCAGCACAATGGTGGCCGCTCTGCCGGAAAATTGGGAAAATCATTAGTCGGGTCCTGGTTCTGGCCAGCTTTCGATTGGCGGTTTATGGCGGCCGGGCCCATAAAAGTCCGTTTATTAACAAATTGCAGGCTCCGCCTAGAGCGGCATTATATGTGTTGCCGCATAAATAGCCATAAATATGGAAAGTGGCTGGGCTGGATGGCCCGGAGCGCTTTCGGCCTTCCACCACAGAAGCTAAAAGTATTTTAAATTGGATTTCAACTGCAGCAGTCGAAACTGCACCTGCCTCGCCCGGCAACCCAATCGATATCCGGAATAATTCAGTAGGACTCTGATGTAGCGCCATTCACGGCTTTTCGATTTATTGTATTTGTCAAAGGCAAACAGGCTCTCTGTGTTAACGTTTTTAATTAACCAAAAGCCTGGACACTATCATTTAAAATTTAATAAATCCCCTGCTATTTGTACGGACACACGGACCTGGCCTTATTGGCCGCCATTCAAACACCTGATCCTCCTCTGGAGCTGGACGAAGCAATCACTGTCTATTCTCCGACAAGCCTTTGAGGCTCTCCATTCAGACTGCTCGACAAATGGCTTACAAATTGGACATGTCGGCTAATATTTTGTTTCAATTTTCAATTGTTTGCTGTAAACGCCACACAATGGCCTTGTTATCTGCGAGGCTGCCGTCCGTTATCTCGTCGTCTGGCCAAGTGGCCCTCCGACTGGCTGGCCCATTGAGGGCCGGGGTCATTGTCGAGTCCATTGTATTGTCGAGTAATAACAATAATAGAAGGAAAGGACTCTGGCAAAGGCCTGTAAGCTACTATTTCCTAGGAGTTTGCCAATAATCGTTAAGTATTTAACTTTCCGACTGGCTTTTAAGTGGAAACCCTTGCCCAATTAGCACTTACCTGGGGGCGTCGTTTATCAGGGCCAATTTCCCGAAATCGTCGCCGGTCTTGAGGGTGGCCACCGTCCCCTTGCCGTGTATCACAACGTCCACTGATCCCTTGAGTAAGATGTACCAGGAACGACCCTCGTCCCCTTGATTGAATACTGCCGTGGAGGAGGTGGTCGTTTTTTAGGATTTTTAATAGACGCAATGGGTTAGGCGTGGAGGGAGAAAAAAGTCTTTATTAGTACTTATAGCTCTAACCGCCGCTGGCCCGGGTAATCTTCACTGGCAGCCCCGTTTATTGAGACATAATTAGTTCGGGCTTAATTAAAAAGTTTTCCGAACACAAACTTTTCTTCGCCGGCTGAAATCTTCATATCCCAATCCGAGGCGCCTGTGGCAGGATACTTACATATTGTGCCCGCCTGGGCGTGAGCCTCGAACACAAATATCGAGGACAACTCCCTCTTGATACTGGTCGAGAGGTGCGAGAGGGCGGCGATGTGGACCAGCTCTTCGAAGACCAGTTCCAGCTCCTCAGAAGTTCGTTCGTGTGACCTATGGGATTATATAAAATACATCAATATTAAGTCATTATTTATCTCTTTGTCGTTGTGTCAGTAAAAGTATTTATATATATACAGTCATCACACATAATATTGTGTGATTTTTAAGCTCTTTCATCATACACATAAATATACCTTTGGCTTACAAATAATTCGTTAAAATCGTATTATTTGGAAATAAAACTTTGAATATTTTTTTAAATAACCAAACATGTTTTGTTTTATCAAGGAAATATAAGCATTCGGAAAACAAAACGCGATAAGCTTTCCTTCTAAAGCTACTTGCCTATTTAATAGGCCTCAATATAGGTTCTTAAAACATTCATCTTTTTGAAGACTATTTAGATTCAAAATGTATCAACAGTTCTAAATTTCAAAATTCTATCAAGCTGTACATTTTAGAAGAAATCCTTAGGAAAGACACTGGTATAAGTGGCATAAAACCGATAGTATAGAAAAGTTTTTCAAATGGATAATATAACGGAAGGTATAGCTGCCGAAAAATCCCTGACAACTAATGCCAAATCCTATGTTAGATACACGCCCCAAGCTCCAGCTCAAACCTCATTCCCTGGATTTAGGATAGTACTCACGGCTTTCGCAATATCATGCGCAGCGTAGCATCCGGGCCGCGCTGGAATAGGGCGCTCAAAGCCTCGCGGATGTGCTCGTTGGCTGCTCCAATGTCCTCCGTTTGGGGGGCGCCTGCGGCTGCTGCTCCGCCCTCCTCGTCTAGACGGAAGCGGTACAGAAAGCACTTGTCCTTGAAAGGCTGCTCCTTGTTGACTGAAAAATCAGCAAGTTAGGCAAGTTAGTATGTGGAAAGCGGAAGGAGCATTCAGCTTACCGTGTGAGAGTACTCCCTCCTCGACGAGGGCCTGCCACATGCCCGCCGCCTGGGCGCGGGTGTGAACGATGGGCGAGAGGTTGACCAGCCAGTCAACGAGCTCGGTGCCGGGGGCGCACTTCCGTATTAACTTTCCAGAGACCTGTGGCGGGAGTAGCGAGTAATTAGCATCGTAAAGGACCTGTATTTTGCTGGCACTCACCTTGCGATCCTTCAGACAGCTGGAGTTGTCGGCGACGAGTAGGGTGCGAAGGGCCCAGCCCATGCGGCTCATAGCAGGACTCGGCGTCTGGAAGGTGACGAATATTTTAGATTCGTTCTTTAAAGCTTGCCCAAGCGTCAAAGCCAGAACCCAGAGAGCGTATGAAAGATGCCGGAGAACAAAGTCCTCCGCCAGGACGCACTCATGAATAACACATAAATATTTTGTAATTCCCTTGACGGCTCCTAGAGCAGCAAATTAACTCATTTGTCGTCGTCAATGTCAGGACATTACATTTATAATATTTATGTGAGTTTCATGGCGAGTTTTTGCAAACAGCTTACCTCTGTGATGGGCAGTGCCGGGTTGGGGTGGTCCGGGCTGAGGGGGCGCTTGGTGGGCGATGTGGCTGCGGCAGCTGTTTGCACGCCAGGACCAAAACCTGCAAGGACACCCGGACGCCCCGGAGCAGTTGTTTTTTAATTAATATTATTCCGAGCGATTGCATTTCATATTCAATCAATGGGCGTCTTTGGCAGCATATTCCGACATTTAATTGCTTAAATACCATTTGTGATTGATGGTGCACGGAATGTGTGCTTCAGTGCCGGGGAATGTATAAAGGATATTGTGGCTTCATCTTAAGAACACAAACATATTTGTTCATGTGCGGTCGTTTGTGGAACTATTCATATTGATTTTGTTATTTATTACAAATCCCTATTCAGGCTTTTATTTGAAAATCTATCTACAAGATCTGGGGTTTGCTTACTGTTGAGGTTTTTGCAATAAAGTCCATAATATTTTTAGAAATCTATCAATTTATTCTGGGCTTGGAGTTCAAAAATTTAAAGATTTTCTTTTGCAGGCACTTTATGGTACAAAAGTTATTCAAATTTTGATTTTTATACCCTTGCAGAGGGTATTATAATTTTGTCCAAAAGTGTGCAACGCAGTGAAGGAGACATCTCCGACCCTATAAAGTATATATATTCTTGATCAGGATCACCTCCTGAGTTGATATGAGCATGTCCGTCTGTCCGTCTGTCCGTCTGTCCGTCTGTCCGTCTGTCCGTCTGTCTGTCTGTCTGTCTGTCCGTTTCTACGCGAACTAGTCTCTCAGTTTTAAAGCTATCGTCTTAAAACTTTGCACACACCCTTCTTTCCTTTGCACGCAGTATATAAGTCGGAACGGCCCGGATCGGCCGACTATATCCTATAGCTGCCATATAACGGATTGATCGGAAATGGTATAACTTTGGTGTTTTTAGAGTTAGAGAGTTCAAATTTGACATGAGTGCTATTTTTGGCAAAACATTACGACATGCCAAATTTCATAAAGATCGGTCGACTATATCTTATAGCTGCCATATAACTGATCGATCGGAAATGACCCAACTTTCGTGTTTTTGAAGATAGAAAGCTGGAATTTAGTACAAATTCTATTTTTGGTCAGTTGATCTAACCTACCAAATTTCATTAGGATCGGCCGACTATATCCTATAGCTGCCATATAACTGATTGATTGGAAATGGCATAACTTTGGTGTTTTTCGAGCTGGTGTTTTTGTTTTAGAAAGTTGGGATTTTCTATGGATTCTATTTTTGGCAAAATAATACTACTTATCAAATTTCATATAAATCGTCCGACTATATCCTATAGCTGCCGTTTAACTGACGCAACTTTCGTGTTTTTGAAGATAGAGAGCTGGAACTTGGTACAGATTATATATTTGGTCAGTTGATCTGACCTACCAAATTTCATTAGGATCGGCCGACTATATCCTATAGCTGCCAAATAACTGAACGATCGGAAATGGTATTTGGTAGAAATATCAACTTTCGTATTTTTGAAGATAGAAGTTTGGGACTATTTTTTAGATTTTTTATTTTAGTTAATTAGTTTTATTATGATGTAATCATAAGGATCGGCCAACTTTATCCGATGTTTGCGATATATATCCGGTTTTAACTGCAAGGGTATATCAACTTCGGCTCCGCCCGAAGTTAGCTTTCCTTTCTTGTTTGTTAAATGATTCTGTCTAAAAAAGGTAAATATGTCGAAATATGTTTATCGATGTTCATATGTTCTAATGCAAAATCTCTATTCATTTATGGGCTTTGCACAACTTTCAGTATGTTTAAGGATATTTTTATAGAAAAACTTTGATAGAAAAAACCATTAAAGTCAATAAATGTGTTTGCAAAAAAATTACTGAAAAGTCATGTCATTCACAGGAATTTATTTAAATAAAGAAATTGAAAAAAATAAAATAAATAAATGAATAAATAAATTGTCAAGAAAAAACGCATTGTTGACATATGTATGAAAAGTAACAATTGGAAAAAAATTACGATTGATGATGAAGAAAGAAAATAGTTACTCCGATTAAAAACCAATGCGGAATAATCATGGTGAACTATTTTTGGCTCAGTTCGAAATTAGATCACAAAATCGTATAATATATTAAGTGTGATGAACTATAACATTAACTTTTTCAGAGGCAATAATTAAAATGCAAATTTAGGTTACGCATAATTTGTTAAATGAAAAGTATGTATATAATGTCTATATTTTAATAAAAATTATATGAGACTTGAATGATTAGTTTTACCTGTATCATGTGTATATTAAAACTGCATCAATCTAAGGCCTTAATAATAAAAAAAATACAATATTTGCAAGTGTTTGTGCAATATTGAGTCACTTTATGGCAAAACAATCATCTGAGCAACATAGTCTTTGTTTTAACTTTTCAAATGCTTTAGCAACGTAAAACTATAAACCTTAGTTCATTCAACTAAACAATTAACAGGGGGTTTCCTCTGATGAGACACTTACCGTTCTTTAGCTTGCAATTGGTGAAAATGTCATTCATCAACTCCTTGTTTTTCTGCAATTAAAAGTGTTAATGGTCGTTAGTCAGGTTCAGGGTCTTGTTCTGGTTTTGGTATGGCTTTGTTTTGTTTTGTTGGTGCGCCTCGTGTGCGTGTGATGAGTGCAATGGTGCAATGGGTGGTGGATTCCAATTACGTTGCTCATTTCAAAGGCCGTCGACTGCGGACGCACTCGCCCCCGCTCCAGCTGACGTCGCAGCTTGACGGCGGCGGAAGTGGCTCCGGCTCCGGCTGTGGCCACTGCGGCTCCCATCCCAGTGGCTTCCTGTTGCTGCCCCTGCTCCAGCCTCTCGCCCTCTCCTAGTCTCGGTGCCAGCTTGCCAAGGTCGGTGCTGCGGCGACGATAGCGGAGCAGGAGGACGTGGGGCGTGAGGTCATCGCTGGCCACAAACTGGGCGGACCAGCGCTGCCGGCCAGCGGACATGGGTTGCTCTCGCCCGACCCGAGTTCCCGACACGTTACTGGAGTCTTCTGGTGTAATTACTGTCAGGCGTTTCTTCGCAAACTGATAAAAACTGTTTGGCGTTGACAAATGCTCGAATGCCTCTGTCGCCTTCAGCTATTTGCCGTTTCTTATCAGCCTCGAGGGTTGTCGAAGCCCTCAATTCTGTTTTTACTTCATAGCCAAACAGTTAACCCCTTGAGGCCACAAGGTTTAAAAAACATTAAAAACAAAAACAATAAGTATTGATCTTAAGTACAGGAAGTACCAGATACACAGCAGGTCTAGTTCAAGCTTATTTGTGAGTCACAAAATTGATGTAAGCTTGGCATCCCCATTTCATATAAAATTGTACTATTTTTTTTTATTAAAAATATAACTGTCTGAAGGAAATTTTTATATCTAACTACAACTTAAACCACAATTTTATATGGTTCTTGAAGTGCTTTTGTCATGTGCCTTATAAGTTATCTTTTTTAAGGGATTTTAATTGTTAGAACTTTTACGATATTAAAGTTTAATGATGCTTCTTTAAAAAATAAACTTTCAAACTATTCTTAGCTAACTTCACTGACTATTTATACATATATAATAACAGAAACAAATATTTTTTGATTCCACATACTTAATTTAACCCCTTAAGTTTTAATTTAACCCCCCTTTCAAACACCTGAAAGTAAGTGGCCGAAGATGGGTTAAGTGCCACCGAAAAGAGCCTGACAACTCTCGAAACTCTGCTGGCTGATAAGCGACAATCGTCGAGCTGGCGTCGTCTTCGAGGCTAATTAAACTCACTTTGCTTATCAATCGCACAGCGGGTCGAATCGAGAGCCACCCACTGGGCGGGTGCGTGGGTGGAGCAGGTGGGGGGCGGGAGCTTCGAAAGACCTTCGCCTTGGAGGCGAGGCACAGTAATTGAACCGTGATGTTTGTTCCCATGCCGAGCCAGTTTGCATTGGTTTTCAATGTTTAATGATGCGAGTCCCTCAGAGGCACTTTGATCAAGACGGCATGCGAATAAAACCAACTCTGTTTCCGCGAATTAATTTAAATCTCTTCAATTTCAAGGTCTTCCCGAGAGCTTATGAGCCCGACACCTGGGAACTGAAGCTATTCGTTATTATATTTGTTTAAATGCTTGGAAGAAAATAAGTTCTCCTCGAAAAGGAAATACAAATCAAAGTGAAATTGTCTTGTGGAAAGTATTAAGTTTCTTTCCATTTCTTGCCAACTCAGCCAAGGGGAAATCGTTTCAATCAAAAGGAGGAACTGGGTGGGAGCTTCTCGCTGAAATTGAGAAGTAAATCCCATGTTTTTAGAAGTGTGCTCAATGAAATTCAAGTTGATCAATGCACAGTTGATGATGCACTTTGATGAGTCGACTAAGCCCAAGCCAAAGCTGGGGCCTTAGGAGCCTCACATGCCCCATCTGTGTTCAGTACCTATTGGTAGTATCAACCTATTGGAGTGTGGGGCCCCTGGTGGGCTCACATGTGCAACTTGTGTTTGTGCATAAATAAATAAAGCCACGACCCTGAACATGCAACTGTGCATGCCACAGGGCTTTCCGCAGAGCTGGCTGGAGAATTTATTGCGAATACCACATGTTTAGCAACGATTTTGTTGCATCAGCGGCCAAAAATTAAATGCAAATGTTTGGCCATCAGTCTGGATTGAGAGGCAGTCAAGGCAGTAAAGGCATTCGGGGCATAATCCCACCTAATTGAGTGGTCCCCTGGAATGAACTCGCAATTTAGAATTCTTGCCTGGTAATTGGCAGCGATTCAATTGCAACATAAGTGGCTGCCAGTTACCAGTTGCAGGCTAGTTTGCAACTTCTCTTGTGCCACATCCAATATCGGGGAAATGAGACCGGCAATTAGCCTTGAATGCCCTTCCCTCTTTGGGCCAAAAATGCTTCCTCTGACATTTTCAATTTGCCCCGTCAGAGTAAATATTTTCGCACAAATCAAACCCCGTCGAGGACAACCTCCTGAACTCCAGCAAGGAGTGTCTTCTTTACTCCTTTTTTCAATTTTCTTTCCTGATTTTATCGCATTTACGCAGTGCCACTGCTGACAATATTCCCCAGTTCGCATTTTTATGGCATGCCTGCTGCTGGAGCTCCGGTGGCTGCAGCAGTGGTAGCATCCACTTTCCTCCATTGTTGCACAGTGCGTATACGTGACATGTGGTGCCCCGCTGTCGCAGCTACTTTGTTATCGTTCAGTTCCCAGCTCCCCTTTCTGGTACTGCCTTTCGGGTTAGCCAATGTTGGCATAATGTTGCAAAATAGTATATGCCCCAATTTGTGGCTTGGCTTGACATCCTACCTCCCTCCCTCCTAGCCGACAAGGTAAACACACATCCATTCCATCCATCCATTCATTCCTACCCGCTCCAGTTTGTGCGTGTGGGTTTTTGGGGGCAGGGGCCCGGGGCTTATACCTTTTGTGGCTGCCGCAGGGACGACTTTGCCCCGGCCCCGGTCCCGGTCCCGGCTGAATGCTATATGCTGAATGGCATTGTTAGTGGGGTCTCCGAATTTAACACATAAATTCCTCGTTTGCATTCGTATTCGTTTCCCACTGACAGAAATAAAGTGCGGGCTGAACCTCTAAACGAATTGCGATGGCTGACTGATTGGGGATGATTTAATTCCGGGACTAACATACTATTCCCCGAGTGCACTCTCGGCCGATTGTGTGCGGGGCTCAAATATTTACTGTGTGGCATATGTAAGCCAAGTTGGGGTTTTCTGCTGCCAAGGACCTGCCTTGCGGCCTGCCAAGCAAATACTTTCCCGCCCGGGGCTCCTCCTGGGCTGTTTTCAATCAAAATTAATCATATTGTAGGCAGCTGCATAAACTAATCGAAGTATCTGCTGGAGGATCCAATTACTTACCCCCTCCCCGGGGCATGCGCTCGGAACTGGCTGAAAACATGCAACCCGGACATAAATGATGCACTGCCATGAGCCCGTCGTTACCCTCTAATGCCGCTTTCCGGCCATAAACATAGACAAAGGGCCGCCTACTTAGCCCATCGTAAGACCTGGCCTAATTCCCCACTCTCCGGCAAAGCCAAAGCACTTAACACAGAGGGCCCGAAGAGGCATGTGCTCTGGCTCATTCCTGGAACTTCATTAGCGAAAAGCCCTCTGCCGGGCAGGGGGACATCCTTGTATATCCTGGCTAGCATCATTAAAGGTTAATTGAAATTTTAATTAAATATTTTCGACAATGATGCGAGCATTCCGCGAGAACCCCACATTTCTGCATGTCATTTTCGTCATTGAAGCGGTCAGGGGGCGGAGATGCTCTCCTTCCTTGGAGATGAGTCCTTGGAGTGCGATTGATTTGAGGTGGAGCTGAAAACCTTGAGTCATCGCCGGGGCACTTACCTCCCATATGAGTCGAAAGTCCTGTTGCTCCACCCGCAGCAGCTCGCAGGTCGTCTTCGTCACCACGGTGCTGTCGCGTGGCAAGTCGTGAAGTACGGACTCCCCGAAAGTGGCACCCACTCCCAGGTTGCACAAGGTAACTGAGCTCTGCAAATAGTATAGAAATAATATCAAATTAGTTAAATGGTAACTAGCTTAAGTTTCAAATTAAATGGTAAGTTCCTAGTCTTGTCCGTATGTCCATTTATCCGTCAAATCAACTGAAACTTTCTTACAACCTCTACATGATTTGCCAGAAAATGTTTTGAAAACCTGGCCAGATTTTTAAGTCCGATTCATCAAACATATTCTCTATATTCTTCATTTTGACCTCCCCTCAGAAAACCTTGAGTAAACCAATTTAATTAGCAAATGACTCTTTGCTTCGTATGGGAAACCAGACTAAGCTTGGAGCTGATTCGTTTGTGCAACTTCCTCATCTTTGTGGCATCTTTAGCTGTGGTGGCGGTTGCCACAGTTGACGCAAATCGCTGCAATTTGTTTGGGACGGAAGATGCAGCGCGTTGCCCACAAAACCGCCGACCGGGAAACATGAGTGCAAGCTAGAAGAAAACAGAACATCAGGGAAACCCTTCTTTAAAATAGAAATCGTACTTCCTATACCCTTAACACAAGGTATTTTTATAACATTGTGGTATTGTTTTCCTCTATTATTGTCTTTGAACACAGTAAGAGGAACATCTACTCATACGAACTATGTCTGCAGCATTACTAGAATTTTCCGAATAATGACCTATAACTTGCTTGAAAAGCACTTTGTAGAAATACCCTTCCTGAGTATATAGTTCGAGAAAGTCGGAAATGAAGCTCCATCCACTGTCCCCGATTGCAATAAGCGAGGCCCTGGGCCAAAGTGTCCCAACTGCAACATCGCAGTGACATTTCCAATTGCAAAGTCCGTCCGGCGTCTCATCTGCCGCCGCCTCTTGTTTGTAGTTCAGTGTTTATTGTTTGTTGTTCGGTGTTTGTATTCCCAGCCAGAGTTCTGGGTTCTTGGCCCTAGGGGGCTACCAGCCTCATTCCAGTGGGCCCCGAGAAGCGAGCCCTGCCGTGTAATTGGCTTAACGAGAAATGCCGGCGACCGCAGAAATTGTTAAACTCGTATTAGCCGTGACGGCTTTCTCGCACTTGTACTTGGGCATGTGTGTGCATTCACAGTTATTACACTTCACAAAGCCCGTAAAATATACTTTAATTAATTCCCGCTTTGTAATTACGATGGCTGTTTGGCCAGCAACAGTTTTCGGCCAAGTCGGAAGCTTCATCGCTTTCCTCTCCGCTGATTTATTGCGACTTTTGTTTCTTGACAAGCGTCAAAAAGAGTCGCCCCCCTCGGCCCGGGCCACATTAAATTTGATTGCTTTCTAATTTATTGCAGCATTAACAGTTGACCCACAGACCCAGAAAGAGGGACACGAATGGTGGGGAAGTGGAGTCGGCCGGAGGGCTCAGATTTGTCCACGAGCACTTCCCTTTTGTGATTTCCTTAAGCGGGCCAGAATTGAATTCAATTTGCCGAAAGAATAATATTTTGGGGGCTCTGGCCAGTCGTGGGAGCCTGCCAGTTGGCCAAACAAACGCTACGGAGCGGAGTGGGTCTTTAAATTCGAAATTAGTAGGAAGTGCAAAGAAGTTGGTGGAAGAATCTTCCATCGGATTTGGATGATAGGCCGCGCCATCTTTATGGGAGATATGAACAGAGTTTGTTTGAAACCAAGAAGCTTAGTGGCTTTAGATTTGCAAGACTAGAGTCTATTGTACTTATAAAGTTAATTACAACCTCAGATATGATTAGATAACAGATAAAGACTAATACGAAGTCTATCCAATGCTTATACCAATTCAAATCTTAGACTCTATCGTGAGCCAAAGTTGTTGTGTCATATGAATAAATTGTGTCGTAAATTGGGCATTCATCCCTTTGATCCGGGATCTGATTGTTCTTCGGATGGTCGTCTCCAAGAGGCGGCAGTGAAAGCGTTTGCCTGGAGCTATTGTCGCACTATTTTATGGCCAACTTGTTTCCCCGGATGGGTTTCGGAATTCATAACCGTCACGTACACTTCGCCTGCCACCGGATCTTTTACATAAACGCGGCGAGGGGCAGTGCAGTGCAATGCTTTACCTTTGCATAATGTCGCGTTGATTGCTCCACGTTGTACGTACAACTGCGACGAAATAGCATTTTCCCTCTTTGTCCTCCACTCACTCACTCACTCACTGCTTGCCGCACTTGAATGGGTTTGTTTTTTGCCGATTTTGGCAGCGATTTTGCATATTCGGGCTGTCAGATTGCCAGGCGGCATTTGAAAAGACATCAGAGACAGGGCCCGAAATGCGTGCCAGTCTTAGCGTTTTTTTTGCGACACCAGAGTCTGATTGCCAGTGGGGTCGGGGCGTGAGGTCGCAGAGACCCCCGCCGGAGACCGCGGTAACCAAGTTAACAGCACGCGTTGCCAAAAATATGGCCCAGCACTCGCTCTCCCGCTGCCAGTGATAAACGACTTGGCGGCGTGTCGTCCCCGACTTCAATTAGGAATTCTTTTTGGTTCTGACCGCGTACCACTCTGATTTGGTCACTTGCATCCGTCAGATACTTCTGGGCTGGAACCACCGCACTAGCCGCCGTTCGCCGCCGAGTCGCGAGTCGAACTAAAACCCAAGTTGGGGCTGCCACCGCGAAAAAATCAGCAGAGCCGGTTGCATGTTCCGCAGCCAACATTCCGGGGTTTTTGCAACTCTCTGTTGAAAGCTGCTGGAGTGTGAACAAAGGCCACAATATCTGCCAGTCAGGGAGGTGCAAAGAGTTTTGCATTCTGCGGATGACAACCCAATTGAGCTGTTGGTTTAAATTCGGGGACACAGTGCTAAAGACCAGCATTTCCCACCAGATAATAAATTATATTTTGAAGTCACCATGTTAGGCGCTTTCTTATCCCCTTTAGTTGCTATAAAAAATATCAATTTGTTAGCCAATGGCATATTCAGGTACTTTTAAAATATATGTATAATGCTTATAGATTGTTAATACTTTCGAAGAGAATTACGGCTCTGGTAGGACAAACAATTAAAAAGAAAGAAAAACAATACAATTGTTATGTTTTGTATCGAATAATTCAATAATTGAATATCTAGAGTAATCCTAGAGTAGGATTTTTTAATATAATGATTAAAAGTAAATGAGAAAAATGTCTAAAGGCTTTTGTTAGGGCAAATACATCGCGTTTAGAAAATAAATATGAAATTCTTTAAAAAAGTTTTGAAAATTTAGTAAAAATGTTACAACATATAACCGATTTGAAGACCATTGGTTTTATTTATTTTTCGTAAAGTCTCAATACACAGATTAAACTTTTAAACACACAAACTGTTCCTCTATTATTTTTCCCTTGTTTTTAATATGGATTATTTCTCTATAAATGTATTACATAGCTGGTACATGTTATTTGCCCATTTTATAATTTTTTTTGTGAGAAATTTGTTATCCAAAAATGTGTTTAGTTTTCAGTTAGCCAACTGCCTGTTTATGATTGCAACACAAATAATGCAACGTTTAATATTACATTTTGAATTCATTTTTAATTATTAAATTAATAAAAAGTTTATACCCAAAAGCGATATTTGTAGACAAACAACTAAAATGAATAACAAATAAACAAATGCATTTGTTAACAAAACTAAATATTATACATCATTTAAAGTATGTTTTATTCAATTACAAGTTTTTGAATTTCAAGTAGTAATCTCAAACTTTACGAAGAGTAAGCTAAGATATTATCTATTTGAAGTTTAAATATTTATTAAAAGAAAGGTTCCATTGAGTCTAGTTTTTCTAAGAGGCCAAAAATGTACAAGTTATATCATGGCAATTTTTTTAAGCGAAAATCCTTTAAAGGCATTAAAAATTTGTGGAGCACTAGCTCCCTGCTGGAAACAGCATTTTGAAATCCCCATATGAGAGCACTCCTCTGGGAAGCGGGTAATAGCATTTGAAACTTGAAGTGAAGGTAAAAAGCTCTTCTCTCATATTTTTGGGGGCCCTGACAGTTTTTGCTCTCGACTGACGTATGCAATTAATCCGCGGCCAAGACCAGCTCATGGCCACGTCCGCGTCCGCGTCCATGTCCATGATTGTATCCATGTCCAAAGGCGCATTGTGATAGCGATAGTGAAACCCAAACCCAAACTCAAACCCACATGCATCATGCTTGTTGGCCAAATGGTCGGATTGTCGACTTTTTGTTCGCCGCTGCGCTTGGAAAACTTTTAACGCACATATGAGCACGCTTCCGTCCGTTGCAAGTGTTGTACATGCATTTGTTGCAGTTGTTGCAGCTGCTGGGGATATGTTGCAGTTAGTATCGCATTGCAGCGGGGGCCCTGGCCAATTCCGTTGGGCAAACAAGGATGTGGACTTAGCTTAGGGGGCTGGCCGTGCGAGTCACTTGTTTTGATGGCGCTCGGTGCTAATGGAATTTCGGATGAGATGCCGTCCGGGAAGGGATTTGAAAGTTTTGAACCGAATTCCGGAGAGGTTGGGGCTGTAAATAGCCGAATAGTCCATTGTTCAGGTTGAATAACCTTGACACTTTTTCGCTTTTGTTTCGAATTGTTGTGCGGTTGCCGCACCAGTCAGGTAATTAAATGTGTTTCGCCCTCCCATTGCGAGGCAAAGCGCCAAGAGCTCCCCAGTTCGGGCCAAGTCAATGACTGCTCGCAGAAAGCAAAAAAACGTCTGTACATTCCCCATTAATCCACAAACTATTTGTTTTCGGCGCGTTAAGGTGCACAAACAAATCGCAAATCACGAGCAGGCGGCCCGTTTGTTTGTCTAATTAATTATGCTAATTAGGTTATAGTTTATTAATAGACATAACTGCATTGTTTTGTGGTCGGTAATTACCATAAAAAACTGCAAAAGGGCCGCGATTAAAATTAAATTAAAAATACAAAAAAGAGACCAAGTTTAAGGTCATTAAAGCTGCAGCGTGAGAGGCTCAGGGCGACTGTTATTTTAATAAAATTGCATATAATTACGTAAAGTCATATTCGCATAACCGTTAGAGTTGCTCTCCAATTAGACGCGGCTTTTCCGGGCACTCCCCAGGTGCACTTGCCTCACTTTCCACGCGTTGCATGGGCCGGTGGCATTCAACAAACATTTTCCTACGCGCATAATTAAAAAGCGCATGTGATCTCGGATTAAAATCTGTCAGGGTAAGGCCTTACAGTACAACCTTTAAAGAAAGATTCTATTTCCAATAAAAATTTAAGAAAAATGCATATGAATGGCATGTTTGGTTGTTCGAATTCCGAAAATCCTTGACATGCCAACAGCAGAGTCCTCGCCCGCCTGCCATTGACAGGCAATTCGACGTTCCAAAGGATGCAGCCAGCCAAGAATTTCGCCAGGAGGTAAGCAGATAAAATAGTTTCGCAGAAACATTCCAGATGCAAGACTTCAATCTTTCAATCAGTCTGGATGTCTGCTAAAAGCACACAAAATGGGTTAAGGCTTTTGTCGACTTTCTCGACTGTGTGGTACCCGGTACATGGAAGTATATGTAAGAACTCAGAGTAGCTTCTAAGAAAGTACTTCTTGTTCTTTCTTTTATAAATAATAGTATTATATCATTTGTTTTTTAAATCGTTCATAATATATATTAACAACTAATAATGTAAATAAGCTAAGCTTGAAACCATGAGAAGGGTGTAGAAGGGAGCTCATTGCCGTCTTAGTTTGAAAAGCTTAGCATTCTCAATTCCTAAAGTTTTCCCTTACTCTTAGAGTACCGAGTATAAATATTGGTATCACTAACAACTGTTCAGGCCACAATAAAGTATCTTTAAGTCATACATTAAGTCATAACACCATGTCGGACTCTCTGGACTGTCAAACACGCTTTTGTCATTATTTTGTTGCCAAACACACACACTGTTTAGGCAAACACAATTAGCCAACTCGAGTTGCATGCTCCACCGCCATATTTTAATTTGGGGTTTCCATTGTTATGGTTGAGCAACCCTAACGAGTGCGGCATGTGGTACGCAAATCATCCGGGCGTTCGGTCGTCTGGGGATATTAATTAATTTGCCTCGGCGTGCTCGGGACAGAGTCGTTGACTTTGAAGAGTCGATGACTAGGCAGGTAACACCGAAGATGTAACCACGAAAGAGCCATTGCACTTTCATAAAGAAAAGGGAAACTGCTTTCAGATAACTAATTACCAAAAATTAACATTCCTACATTATATTTACGAATATGGCATTCACAAAATAGCTTAACAAGATCTTATAGGGAGTATCGTATGGCATAACCTCATAGTAGCAAGTAGCCCAATTAGACGCGTTCCACTCTCAAGTTGATGCCGCCAATGGTGCCCAGGACAATGGACATGGGCGTGTACTTGAGGGGGATCTCGGTCTCGTCGCAGATGGACAACCTGAACCTGTTGATCAGCTGGGCCAGGCCGATGCGAGTCTGCATCTGACCGAAGCGCATTCCAATGCAGTTGCGTGGCCCGTCTCCGAAGGGCAGCCACTCCACGGAGTCACGGGCGGCCACTTTCTCCGCCGAGAACCTATCCGGATCGAAGGTCATCGGCTCCGGATAGAGGTCCTCGTCGCGGTGGTAGGCGCAAGCCGGAATCACGATCTGGGTGCCGCTCTGGATCACCAGGTTGGGGTGTCCGGGCACCTGGTAGTCGTTGAGCGCCTTTCGCTCGAGGTGGGGCACGAGGGTGTACAACCTCAGGGTTTCTGTTCAGAGGGCTGATGGTTAGTTACAAGTCCACTTTGGGAAGCCTGAGCACAAACCTGAGATGACCTGGTCCAAGTAGCGCATGTCCTTGATGGCCTCGTAGGTCAACTGGCCATCGTGCTGCTCGAGCACCGACTGGACCTCGTTTCGCAGCCTGTCCTGGATGTCCTGGTTCTGGGCGAGCTCGTACAAGCAGTAGCTCATGGTCGAGGAGGAGGTCTCGAATCCGGCCAGGTAGAAGACAAACACCTGGGCGGCCAGCTCTCCGATGTTCATGCCCTCGATGACCTCGCCGTTCTCCAAAGTGACCTTGCCCTTCTGCTTCAGCTCGATCAGCAGGTTCATGAAGTCGTTGCGCTTGAAGTTCTCCTTCTCCCTTAGGGCAATCGTCTCATTGACCAGGCGCATGAAGAACTGGTGCACGTCCTCGGGCATCATCCGCATCCGCAGCCGCTTGGCCATCTTGGGGAAGCTGAACTGGAACATGGTCAGCAGCTGGCCGTGCCTCAGCTCGGTGAACGTCTTCTGGCCCATGGTGCGGAAGTCGGAGACGGGGTTGCTCAGGGTGCTGCACTCGATGCCGAAGGCGCAGTTACCGATCACGTCGGTGGTGAACCTGGCCATCAGGTCTTTGATCTCCAGGACAGCTCCTCCCTGCGTGGCGGGCACCTGGCTGGTCATCACCTTGACAAACTCCTCGGACACCTTGATCACGGTGGGGAACATGAACTTCATCTTGCCGGAGGTGAAGGTCGGCGAGAGCCTCTGGCGCATGTCTTTCCACTTCTTGCCGTCCAGGTTGAACAGGTGCTGGGTGAGCGGGTCGTCCCGCTCGTTGTGGAACTGCCCCCTGTCCATGAAGTTCGAGAAGTCCTTGATGAGAATGTTCTTGGCCAGCTGGGGGTCCACGATGAAGGCCGCCGGCTTGTGCAGGAAGTAGAAGCCCACGAACGGGTTTCCAGTCTTCCTGTATTTGTTGTAGTAGTCAATGAAGATGTTGTGCATCACGCGGTCCTTGCGGAACCCGATCATGTTCCCGTAAAACAAATTAGGGGCATCGTGGGGCACTCCGCGGCGCTTCCAGTAGGTGAAATTGCGGTGCACGACAAACGCTAGGAGCGACACGATCGCGATAACCAAGTAGATTAGAACAAACATTTTAAACTTTTGTGTTTGGACCTCGTCGCGCTCCAACAGCGACTAATTTGTGACCAGCTCTTTTCAGGCTTTTTATTAGAACAGCGGACCAGAGAGACAAGTGCTTGGCGGGTGTTTGGAGTCATCAGCATGACTGCGCGAATTTTTAGCAGCTCTCATGATTACCAAGTAGCTGGGCCCGATAACGCGGCCCACTGGCCCGGGGAAGCCTGGCACAACTTGTAAGCACAAAACGCGAGTTCTAAGAGCACGTCCAGCAGTGCCTCCCCAGTTCTCTGGCCGCGTTTCTACGCAACCGTTCCTGATCAAAATATAAACAACCGACAACAGGTTTTTGTTATTAAACAAACTGCCAGTTAGTTACCTATGTTTGAATATGAGCTAATGGCGTTATGCTGATAGTGATTTACATATCTTGGACTTATATATGTGCGAGCTATCTGAACGATAGTGGCTGGGTGGGATTTGTAGAGCCCGCAGTCTGGGGAATCAGCGCCACGTTAACACAACCTCTTTGGTCGACAGCCTGATTACGCTCTTGGTTAACCGGCGGGAAAGTCGCCTCTTTGGCGGACATACAGTAAGCCGATTAGGATGTGCATTTGCCTGGTTTAGTCCCCTTTCCAGCGCCCCCCGGAGTGGGAGGCTAACACGATTATAGCGGATTTCTTCGCTCCAATTGACGGAAGCGGATGCCCGGCAGGAAGCACTGTTGACCTTGCGCATCACTTATCACAAGTTGCAAGAATTATTGGCATTGCTTGTCCTGGAGAGCTCCGAAGAGTCCTTGTCGTGGAGTGTCCTCAGCTGTCATTGTCTTTTAGTGCCCGAGCTCCTGGCTTAGACCTGCATATGTGCAGAGGACGGGAGGCTGGGGACCAATGGATGTCTGGACTACATTTTATCCGCTGCTCAAATTTAAAGTCCTCCCAGTCTGACCTTGAGACGTCGCCCCGACAACCTCGTCCCACATGTGTCACATTGTTCTCCAAGCCCTCGCATCAGGCATAAGTGTCGCTGGGAATGCAGGCGGCTTGGAACAATGAGCGTCTTGGAACGAGGCGTTCTCGACATAATGAAGTGCACAGAACACAGAAAGAAGCACGGAATGCATCGAGGAGACGGATGGCAACAAAAACTAGATTGCCCCCACTCGCTGCACTTATGCGCTGAATAAGAATGCAAATCTAAATGCGGCTAAAGAGCAAAAAAGCGGCCCAGGAGAAACCGCGCACTCACAAAAGATTCTTCAAGAATCCGCTCGAGGGTTTTCTAAGCCGACATCTGACTTGGCTCGGATGATGCCCAAAGCTGTTAATGTTGTTGCTGATTCTGAGCTGCTGCTGCTGCTGGTGTTGCTGTCTCAGAGGAGACAGCTCGGCTAATTACAGATGCTGCTGAATCTGGAGAATTGCATGTAAACAGTCGGCTAATTGTTTGCCCTGCCCGGGTGCGGGGCTGCCGAGGTGCTGGGTCCCGACGAAGACGACTCTTTCAAATGCAAATGCCCTGCGAACGGAGGAAACACCGCCCCTGGGGAATGTGTACTTTGTTCATGTCGCTGGATGGATGTGCGTGTGCCTCGAATAAATTAGTTTTATTTGTGTCTGGATGTCGGGCAATCTAAACAAATCGTGTGGCAGAGCCGGGCTTGTGCATTTCCTGTAAGGCGACAAAATGATGTCTCCCCGACGTGTGCGCGTCTGAAGATACATTATGTAAATCGCAATAAGAAGCTAAATCGGAAAACGGGTCTACCCGAAATCGGCTGGAACGGAGGCTGGAGCGGAAGGGGTGGCACAGCTCGGAGCAAGCCAAATCGTTTATATCAATACAAGGCGACTAAATAAATGTGGGGCTTAGTCGCAGCTTAAATACTCTATTTTAAAATTTGGGATGTTCGTTGAGCATCGATGTTCTATAGTTTCAATAATGTTGGGCTTTCGATTATAACTCTGATTATTCCCTATTGACGACCATCCCTAATACCTAATGCAATTCTCCTTGAGTATTTATACCCCATTGAGTAAGGAGTGAATGATGTTTTTCAGAATCCTAAATTTATCTCCTTCACAGCCCATTTAAAGTCTTGATGAAATCGAAGGACCCAAGCCAGAGCATCAACGACTTCCCCTTGGCTTCCGTCCCAGACAGAACCCGACCTTCCTCTGCCAGTCATCATAGCATCGATGATAAAATTATAATAACCTTTAAGCCGAGAGGGCGTGTAGGTGGTAGGTCTCTTCAAGAAAAGAGATTCGCCTGACAGACAACGCAACAATTAAAGCCGCCCAAGGGAGCGCGAATAATTAGCTGGCAGGATCCAGCATTGTCACAGGATGACAATTCCTTGGGCGGGTTTCTCAGTTCGCTGGCTGACAAGTCCATTGCAATCACAATCAGTGACAAGGAGGAATCCTGATTGAATTTCTGGTTTGACAGATTCGAAGCCGTGATTGTCTGGCATGTGTGGCATCTGCTGCCGCTGCTGTTTTATATCGATTCCGGACTGATTGTGCGTCAAGGGCTTTGTCTCTGGAGCTCCCGGGCTACCCGTCTGCCGGGGCTCCACATCTTGGCTGCGAAGCCATAAAAAGCGCTCAGGCGAGATGCATTCAGTGACAAGTGCTGGGTCAATGTGTCAAAAGAGAAATGCCCAGCCAGACAGCCCAGTGACCAAGTTGCAAAATTGTTGATTTATGTTGCAGCCTGCCAAGTGAGTTTTATTTTTTACGGGAGGTGATAAAAAGCCCGCTCAGAAACGTCGGAAATATGTTCCCCCTCCTCCTTCCGCCCCGGCATGCTCCGGAGGCACCACGTGGCTTTTACGCACTTTAAACCAAAATTGCCATTGTGCTCGGAATACAGAAGCCGAGCAACCGGGCCGGGCCAGCAGAGCTTTGGGCAAATAAATGACAAAGCCATTTGTAATGAAATATTAAAGCCGACAATAAAAAGGAAGGGCTGTGGGACGGAGGGCAGTCACAGCGGGAAATGGGCTAGAAAACATCAGCATAATACTTATTCATTATGCCGCTGGTCTAGGCGTAGGCGTATTCCTATTCCTAAAAGTATTCCTATACGGACTCGTGTATGCCAGCCCCGGGCGTAAACACAAATTTTATTGGACACACGGCGCATAAACATGATGCGGCATGGGGCATTTAGAACGGGGCACATGGCCCGGAGGATGGAGATTGGAATTTGGAGGTTGGATGCTGGATGCTGGATGCTGGAGACTGAAGGCTGGAGAAAAAATCGATACATCCCCGACACACATGCAACTCCACTTCACGGTTCATGGAGTAAAGTATATGTTCTTACGATGCAATTTAAAATGGATTAAATCGCATACATCGAAAATCAATAATAAAAATTAATATAGAGCTTGTTCAACAGGGAAATGAATTCCATTCAACTGCCGACAAGCTGCCACAAATATTCCATTCATTGTTGGCCATGAAATGCCAAATCATGCTCAAACTTTCGGTCTTGAATAAGAAACCTTTTGAAGTTGTCACTTGGCTTCTTGCCCGAGCCACCAAACAAAATGTAAATTGGCATGCCGAGCCAGGCCAAGGCAGGGCGAAAAGCCAAAAAGAATATTGCTTAACTCAATTCGGCACGCGAATCAGAACCCCACCAGATTTTTATTCTTCGATAAAAAGCGAAAGTAAAAACCGAAAAGGCAACAAACAAGAGCATCAGGAGTCGGCTCCCCTTTCGGCCCGCCCACTCGCAATCAAATTGAAAATTCTCCATTGTGCAAATATTGATTTTGCTCGCTGCATAAACTTTTATGCGGCGCGTCGCCCAAGGAGGGCGGCAGCGAAAATTTGCTTTTCTAATTTCCACTAGGATAAGCAAAAAGTTGGCAGCAGCGATTTCTCAGCCCAGAGCCTGCCACAAGTGTCTGGGGCAAGGTCGAATAAGGCTGTGTCTCGGCTAATTCATCGCCTTCTGCCTGCCCGTCTGTCTGTCTCTCTGACTGTCTGTCTGTCGTGTTTTATTCGCTCCCCGGCATATTATTTATGGTAATCGACATCAAATGCTGCCATTAAGCTCATTGCCATGGCAAGCGGTGGAAGCAAAAACGATTTCTTACTTTTTCTAAAAATACTAAGCATCCACAAGTGCAAACTCGATACATTTCCGAGCAAAACCGAGTTTTTAAATACCCTAGGAGTCTTAGTATCTTTGCTCCCCATGAGATAGTCAGAAGGCCAGGCCAGATAGAGCATTCAAGAGGTTTCCATAAAGAGCTCGAAACATGATATTTATATTTCTGCGATTTCTGATAAGGACACATCGTCCAAAAAAGCAATGTGTGGGCGATTGTTCATATTTGGCTTCTCTCCAGTTATGAATCGAATTTGCGAGGAGCACGTTCTCGGGCCCAAACCCCCTAATTTGCCTGAGATGGAGCTTGATTTTACGGGGCCCGCTACTTACTACCTTATCAGCAGACAATTTGCATAATTTAAAAATATTCTCCGAATCACGAGCACTCCAAAAAGACCTTCACACTCTCGTTCAATAAGCTTCAAGACGCTAATTAAATTATTTTAAATTCATTGTAATGTTAAATTCATTGTTAACTCATGTGATTTATTGGGTTTTTGGCTTCATTTGCCGCTCTCAACTTATTTAATTACAAACTTTTTGTGTGCAAACGGAAAACCTCCGCTTTCCAGCCAGATGGCAAAACTTTTGCAAAAATAGAGCGCTGATACCTGAAATAATACAACTTTAAGTTGAAAACTTTTTTCCATCTGTTTCCAGCCCTTTATGAATAAAATTTAAAAGGCGATCATGGCGGGTATATATTTTTAAGAGCTTTATGCGTGTGTTTGTTTACAGCCCGGGAAGAGTGACTTTTAACCTCCCACGCACCTACACCCTCGTTCGAGTCATTAAAGATTATTAAAAGCACCTCGATCCACCTCGGGAGGTGGAGTGCCCTGACGGGGTTCCCTCAGGTGCCCCGACACGCACACCGGAGTTATTGATCCATAAAAAATATAAAAACACGAGAAATATTAGTATTTGATGGGAAGTGGCTGGGGATGCGGCAGGGAATGGAGCTGCAGGGCAATATCGAGAATGCAATCATGGAGAAGATACTGCCTACACGGGCACGCCACAATAACCTTTAAAATAGTGGGAGCACTTTAAAAAACTTTGAACTAAACGGTAAAAATATTTTTGAGATATACATATACTCAACTAACAAAAATTATTAAAAAATGAATTTATTTCAGAAAAATTAATTC